TAATTCCTAAAATTTTGAGGCAATTACCCCCAAAATCAATTACAGCCTTCCATTTGTGATATGGAACCTTGTGGTACAATGTCAGAGAGATCCATACACTTACACACAAGTTATTGTCTGGAAGTTACAAAAATGCTTATTTTTGGCCCCTTTTTGGCCCCTAATTCCTTAACTGTTGGTACCATAACCCCTAAAATCAATCCCCACCTTCCTTTTGTGGTATTGAACCTTATGGTAAAATTTCATGGAGATCCATTCACTTAAACTAAAGTTAGAGTGCGAAAACCAATGTGTCTTCGGACGACGCCGGACGACGCCAGACGACGACGACGACGACGACGACGCCAACGTCATACCAATATACGACCAAAAAATTTTCAATTTTTGCGGTCGTATAAAAACTGGAGATGGACTCAAGTGCGATGGATTGGTCAGCAGTTCCTTCTAAACTATTATCCCCCTGTACTGTCGTGTAACTCGTGTTAAAATATGTTGATTAATCATATCCTGTTAGTAGGCTTCATAGAATAGATTGGTCAATGTCCAGGGGCGGATCCATGGGGTCGTATTGTCCTTTATGGAAGCTAGCTAGGGTAGCCAAAGCTGTTGGTTTAACAAACAAAGACAAAAGGAAACAGACAACAGCATGAGTCGGTACAGGCACTAAATGTGGTGGAGTTAAATAGTTTTATGTGCGCACAAACCCAGTGGCGTAGCTTGACCCTTATTTCTAGTGACGCAATGGAATTTCGACTGCAGCTGGAAATGGAGATAAAAAGGAGTCAACATTTGCCTTACAACAGTCCACCTACAGATCCGTGAAAGTGTTGTTGAAAGTTTTTTTTTCAACTTGCAGAGAGCCTGGTACTCTCCAGTCACAAGTCATCAAATGTATTGTCCGTATTCCGACAGGACGTTGCTGCGTATGTATACATCACACACAGCCAAATGGAAGCTCCTCTTTATCATGAGTTTTACTGCCGGATTGGAAAAGTTCAGGGATAAACATATTGGTATACCCGTCAACCCTTGTGGTTAATTCAGGAAGAGAAAAAATTTAAAAGAATAAACTTTACAAGTAGGTTCTGTAAAATGAATTTACCGGATTAGGTGTGAAAATTTGGACTGTCTCTGGTAAAACAAGGTATGTTGGATAGAGACAGACATGTTCCTATGCAACAGATCCACGAAGGAACCAATCACTTGTTGAAATGGTACATTAACGTACAGAAAGCATGCCGCTCTCATTACATGAGGCAGAGGAAAGTCAAACGAACATCCCCTCAGCAGGGGTTTTACTGCCAGACGGATAAAATGCAGGTGACCATATGTCTATACCCCTGTCGCCCCTTGGATCAACCATTTATAGCTGGAATAATGATTTCTATCTAAAGATTTTAGTTGTTGTGTTGTTTCTGTTTTCTTCATTTTGTCCCCTCGACATGTATCATACTGTCGTACGGATAAAATCCAGGTATCTATATTTCTATACACCACTCGACCCTTGGGTCAACAATTCATAGCTATCGTGATTTCTATCTAAAGATTTTAATTTTTGTTTCTCTCTGTTTGAACTTTCGTTTTCCTCTTTTTGGTTGTTGGTTGAGGTGGGGCTTTAGCTTGGTCAAACACTGGTGAGGCCCCTCATGGGGTGTCCAAGTAATCACATACTAACAAATTTTTGCCAATATAATCACATAATCATTAATTATTTTTTTAAACAAGATAATCAAATAATCAAAAATACAGTCCTAGATCAATCACTATAAAAACGGCCAAGTAATCACGAGGCTCACTGGTATAGAGTTCCTGTTTGTGAAATATCCAGATTTGTGAAAATTCTATCATTAAATAATGGTAGTTTTCCTAACGCATGATATCATGGTATATTTGAATGTAACTATGCTGGTTAAAATATGAATTCTATGAATTTGAAAAGTACCTGATCAAAACAAAAATAACAATATATATATAATCATGGTCACTTCATACAATATTTTGGTAAAAGTTCGATGATATTGAAATTTAAGATCAATCTAATTAATATATATATTTCTGATTAATACTAGTATGCTCATATGAGCACGCGAGTTCCGAAAGATCCGGATTTCAGCTATGTCTTGAAACTTTATACGTTAATAAAACCTGGGAACAGTATATCTAACGTCAATATATATGTTCCTGATAAAACTAACACTTTATAATTTCCATGAGTCCGAAACGCTTTTCTTAGTTTACCTTCACCAGAAACGCTCAAAACCAAACATTTAAAAGCCAAGGATGTATGAATACATGATTTCAATTGATATTTTATTGTGTGTCTTTTTTATGTTGTAATGTTATACCACTGTTTCAGGTTAGGGTGATGGTTGGCGCCTGTTAAAACATTTAAACCCGCTGCATTTTTATGCATCTGTCCTAAGTCGGGAACCTGTTTCAGTGGTTGTCGTTTGTTGGTGTGGTTCATAAGTGTTTCTCGTTCCTCGTTTTTTATATAGATTAGACCATTTGTTTTCCTGTTTGAATTGTTTTTCACTAGTCTTTTTGTGGCCCTTTATAGCTTGCTGTTCGGTGTGAGCCAAGGCTCCGTGTTGAAGGCCGTACTTTGCCCTATAATTGTTTACTTTTTACACATTGTGACTTGGATGGATAGTTGTCTCATTGGCACTCATACCTCATCTTCGTATTTATGTGAATACACGTGAAGCTTTCTGACCAAAAGGGACATAAAATGAAAAGTCAAAAACGTCTGAGGTCAGCTTTGCCTGACGGTGAGTTGGAACCTTAATCAAATAAAGAAAAGTATGCTATGAATCATGCGAGTTCCGAAATACTGACTACTGAACTGATGACACCAATAGCGACTAACAGTCCACCAGCAATGGTATCGAAAAAGAGCTAGAGATAAAAACTAAGTCCGCATAGTGTGAACATGCACGAGGGTAACGTATTAATACCCTATAAAAATAAGAATATGTGGTATGATTCCCAATGAGACAACTCTCCACAAGAGACCAAATGACACAAAAATCCTTTTCTATTTTTGTTTCCTTGGTAAAACATTTTCTGATGCAGATGCCTCACTGCCTCAATAGAAAGGTACACTACTGATTAAGCCCCCTATTCCCTTTATACAAAAAAAACCCTTCATAGTCCAGCTATCATCAGGATGGCAAGTAACCTAAACAACGGGAAATACATAACATGGAAAGCAGGGTCTAATTGTGATCGCTACTACAGGAAGTAAGCTAAGGTAGACACCCAAGAAATGTAATAACTTTCCAGATTTTAAAAATATCTTGATATAATGTCTGATATTATGTTTTTAATAGAAACATTACATTTACAGATAATATACTGATAATGACTGTAAAATTGTTGAAGGTATTTAAAAGTCTGTGCTATCTATAACAATGTACAAGTAACTTTTGCCAAAAAGCCATGTTGAGCTCATTTAAGTCAATTTTTTCATTAGAACATATTCAAGAAAACTGTACAAGTTGTGACATGTACATGCCATAGGATGCCGGACAACATCCTTGGCAGAAAGATCAGCAGCCACTGGCTAAATGAGTATTGTATACAAGATAACTATACAACTTAATGGATAAAAAGATATACAGACAATGCAAATGAAAGATAAACAAGAAACACACTAACAACTGAGCAAGATCAGGCAAAAAGATGGGTAGAGTATTTCAAGGAAGAATGCAATTGTCCTGATCCATAGGACAAGGCAAATCCAAAGAATTTGCTGTGGACATTAACATTTATACCAGCCCTCCTTACATTGACGAAATAAGAATAACAGTTTCAATCCTAAATAAACTGTTATCACAGAGATATGTCTCGCCTTTTTGTAATTTTGATAATGCAAATGTTGAAATTAAAATAGCAATACTTTAACATGTAAGTTATGCAAATATTCAAAGTCGATGAACTATGACTGCATGTACATGGCTAAACAATCTCCATGGAATGAGATGTGCCAATGCTAATACAACTGCATACCAAATACCATTGACTTATTATAAGTCGTTCCCTTTAAACAAACCTAAATACAAATATTAACTTGTGAACTATGTAAAAGTTTCAAAGTCAATGAACCATGATCAGGGGTGGGGCTATATAATCTCCATGGAAACGATACTTGCAAATGCCAATACATTTGCATACCAAATATCATTGACTTAACATTAGCAGTTCATTTTAAACTGATCTAATCACAAACTAATACATGTAAACTAAGCAAAAGTTTCAAAGTCAATAGACCATGACTGAGGGGGCGGGGCCAAATATTCTCCATGGAAATGAGATGTGCTAATGCTTATACAACTGAACACCAATTAACATTGGCCTACCACTAATGGTTCCCCTTGAACTGACCTAATTACAAACTAATACATGTTAGCTTAGCAAAATTTTCAAAGTCTATAGACCATGACTAAGGGGGCGGAGCCAAATAATCTCCATGGAAATGAGATATGCCAATGTTTATACAACTGCATACTAAATATCATTGACCTACCACTAGTGGTTCCCCATAAATTGACCTAATCACAAACTAATATATGTAAACTATGAAAAGTTTCAAAGTCAATAGACCTTGACTGAGGGGGCGGGGCCAAATAATCTCGTGGTAATGAGATGTGCCAATGCTAATACAACTGCATATCAAATATCATTGACCTACCACTAGTGGTTCACCATGAACTAGACCTAATCACAAACTAATACATTGTTGATGCTGCTGTCGCCGCTGCCGGAAACAGCATACCTATGTCTGGCTTTTTGACTCCGTAAAGGCGAGACAAAAATCGGAAAGCTGTTGGCATAGATGTTGACCAAGTCAGATGAACCCTGCCAGACAGACATGTACACATTTCAATCATACCATAAAATAAATATAGATAGCCCATTGATTATAGTATCGGAGAAGAAAAAGACCTAATTCTGGAATAAGAATATGTGGTATGAGTGCCAATGAGACAACTCTCCATCCAAGTCACAATTTGTAAAAGTAAACGATTATAGGTTAAAGTGCAACCTTCAACACGGAGCCATATATATATTTTTTTTGATGAAGCGAACCCCTTTAAAAACTTTGCTAATATTATCCATTAATCTATAAATAAATTAAATTCTTGGTGTACTTGGATATGCTGAATCGAACTGTGTATTTAGATTTTGGATATTGGATCATAATAGGTGAAAGTCCAATTTCAAATTTTTCAGTTCTTTGACCTCATTCATTTTGTGTCAGAAAACCTATGATGTGTCAAATATTTAATCACAATCCAAATTCAGAGCTGTATCAAGCTTGAATGTAGTGTCTATACATGCCCAACTGTTCAGGGTTCGAACTCTACAGTCGTATCAAGCTTCACCCAGCAGAGCATATTATTTAAACTAGTTGTCCCAATGATGATTGTGGTAGTTTGGTCCCATAATTTCAGAAGAGGAAAATATTTTTGTAAAATTTAACAGACAGCCAACAACAAGGGATGATGGACAACAAGTGATGGCAAAAGCTCATACTGGCCCTTTATGCCAATAGAGCTCAAAGTGGGTATATGCCGATAGAGCTCAAAGTGGGTAAACATCATTCTTCAAGGGCAAAATGGCCATAACTCCCATAAGGGATCAATTATTGTTTTCTTCCATGTCGATTTATTTATAGAACTAATTTTTGCTGAAATTTTTATTATTGAAAAAATCTCTATATCTACTATAGTATTCTTCAAAAAATGCCAAAAAGGGTAAAATCATCTTTCATATGCAACAACTACAAAAACAAATTTTTTCTATTAACAAAAGGGCAAAACATTGAGTTTTGTCAATGGCCCAGTATGCTATACATGTACTTATATGCACATCTTCTGGTAAGGATCTTACAATGTACAAAGTTTCATGAACATTTGATGAAGCATGTATGAGTTGCATCCAAAAAATACATACTGTATAGTATCAAATTTTCTTAATCAATGGGGTAGAAATCTGTTGTGCTTCAAAGTTGACACATCATAATCTGTAGTTGCATAAAATTTGGTTAAATTGGACAATGGACTCAAAAGTTGGTAAGGACAGATAGACCAATGGAAGTATAGACTGGCCGATTCATATATTACCCACAAAACTTTGCAAAGGGTATAAATTTTAAATGTATCAGTAAGGGAAACAATCAAATAACAACAGAAAATAGTCTAATAACAACAGAAAATAGTCTAATAACAACAGAAAATAGTCTAATAACAACCATCATGACCATAGTCATCATAATTACTGGTATAATGAATGAAAATAACACTTCAATAACTTCCTGGGTCCAAAGGGCTTTTCTGGATTTCCTTTCACCAGGAACGCTCTAACCTAACTTGATATATGTTTTACAAAAATACTTTCATAATTACAATTGAACCTTTGGGCTACACTGAACATTATTAGGTCACTTCATTGTTTATAACAAGTTCTCAAACCTCATTATCTTAAGACTATTGTGAAACTTCTTTAGATTTTACTTTCATTTCTAGCTTAATAAAATGCTTCGCTGGGGCGCAGCTTGATACGACCGCAGAAGTCGAACCCTGAACAGTTGGGGCAAGTATGGACACAACATTCAAGCTTGATACAGCTCTGAATTTGGATTGTTATTAAATATTTGACACAGCATAGGTTTCTGACACAGAAAGAATGTGGTCTAAGAACTTGAATTTTTTTAATTTACCTATTATGGTCCAATGTCCAAAATCAAAATACATGGTTAGATTCAGCATATCAAAGAACCCCATATATTCAATTTTTGTTAAAATCAAACAAAGTTTAATTTTGGACCCCAACTTGGACAAACTTGAAAACTGGGCCCATAATCAAAAATCTAAACACATGTTTAGATTCAGCATATCAAAGAACCCCAAGAATTCAATTTTTGCTAAAATCAAACTAAGTTTAATTTTGGACCTTAATGTAGACCAATTTAAAAAAACAGGACTTAAAATTAAAAATCTAAATACACGGTTAGATTTGGAATATCAAAGAACCCCAATAATTCAATTTTTGATGAAATCAAACAAAGTTTAATTTTGGACCCTTTTGACCTCAATATGAACCAATTTGATAGCGGGGCCCACAAATAAAAAATCTAAATTCATGGTTAGATTCAGCATATCAAAGAACCCCATATATTCAATTTTTGTTGAAATCAAAAAAAGTTTAATTTTGGACCCCAACTTGGACCAACTTGAAAACTGGGCCCATAATCAAAAATCTAAACACATGTTTAGATTCAGCATATCAAAGAACCCCAAGAATTCAATTTTTGTTAAAATCAAACTAAGTTTAATTTTGGACCCTTTGGACCTCAATGAAGACCAATTTAAAAAACGGAACCCAAATTAAAAATCTAAAAACACGGTTAGATTTGGCATATCAAAGAACCCCAATAATTCAATTTTCGATGAAATCAAACAAAGTTTAATTTTGGACCCTTTTGACCTCAATATGAACCAATTTGATAGCGGGGCCTACAAATAAAAAATCTAAATACATGGTTAGATTCAGCATATCAAAGAACCTCATGTATTCAATTTTTGTTGAAATCAAACAAAGTTTAATTTTGGACCCCAATTTGGACCAACTTGCAAAATTGGGCCCATAATCAAAAATCTAAATACATGTTTAGATTCAGCATATCAAAGAACCCCATATATTCAATTTTTGTTGAAATCAAACAAAGTTTAAATACTGGACCCTATCTTGGACCAACTTGAAAACTGGGCCCATAATCAAAAATCTAAACACAAGTTTAGATTCAGCAAATCAAAGAACCCCAAGAATTAAATTTTTGTCAAAATCAAACTAAGTTTAATTTTGGACCCTTTGGACCTCAATGTAGACCAATTTAAAAAACAGGACCCAAAATTAAAAACCTAAATACACGGTTAGATATGGAATATCAAAGAACCCCAATAATTCAATTTTAGATGAAATCAAACAAAGTTTAATTTTGGACCCTTTTGACCTCAATATGAACCAATTAGATAACGGGGTCCACAAATAAAAAATCTAAATACATGGTTAGATTCAGCATATCAAAGAACCCCATATATTCAATTTTTGTTGAAATCAAACAAAGTTTAATTTTGGACCCCAATTTGGACCAACTTGAAAACTGGGCCAAAAATCACAAAAATCTAAATACATGTTTAGATTCAGCATATCAAAGAACCTCATATATTCAATTTTTGCTAAAATCAAACAAAGTTTAATTTTGGACCCTTTGGACATTAATGTAGACCAATTTGAAAACTGAACCCAAAATTAAAAATCTAAATACACTGTTAGATTCGGCATAACAAATAAATAAATGTGATCAAAGATTTTACAAATCTAATGTGCCATACTGTGCAATTAAAGATTACTTCTTGAAATTTTTCAATATTTGAAATTTGAAAAAAAAATAATATTTGAAGAATAATTCTTTTTAATTTCTGAAATCTGAAATGAGAAAAAATTGGCCCCCCACAATTTCTTTTTATCCCCCCCCCCCTTTTTCCCCCAAAAAAATTCTTTCCCTCAAGATATGGTCATAATCTCAATTCAAATTTCCAATGGAGTTGGCAACCATAATTACCCATTTAAATTTACCATAGTGCTAACTTAATCTATTTTATAATAGAATTAATAAAAATATAGTGTCAAATCTTTCATATGGATATTTTTGTAAAAAAAAAAGATGAAAACATTTGCAGATATTTTTACTGGTCTTCCTTTATAAATATGCATTTCTTTAAACATAATTTAAAAGCAGTGTAAGGGAAGTAACCAAAACGTTGTATTTGGATTACCTCCCTTACACTGTTTTAGATTATCTTTATTGTTCATTAACCATTACTTTATACATAATTTAAAAGCAGTGTAAGGGAGATAATTTCAATGATGTATTTGATTTATCTCCCTTACACTGCTTTAAATTATGTTTTGTACTAAAGTATTTGTCCATTAACCAGGACAACCTTGTTTTTCCCCCTTTTTTGCCCGTAATTCCTAAACGGTTTGAGCCATAACCCCCCAAAGCAAATCCTAACCATCCCTTTGTGGTATGGAAACTTGTAGTATAATTTCAGAGAGATCCATACACCGTTCCACAGTTATTGTCTGGAAACTAGAAAATGCTCATTTTTGGCCCCTTTTTGGCCCCTAATTCCTTAACTGTTGGTACCATAACCCCCAAAATCAATCCCAACCTTCCTTTTATGGTATTTAACCTTATGGTCAAATTTCAAAAAGATCCATTCACTTAAACTAAAGTTAGAGTGCGAAAACCAATATGTATTCGGACGACGACGCCGGACGACGACGACGACGACGACGAAGACGCCAACGTCATACCAATATACGACCACAAAATTTGTTTGCGGTCGTATAAAAACCAGTGAAACTATTTATTGTAAATTCAGAAATTATTTCGAGGTTTTTATTGATGCAAATAGAATCGCTATAACAAGAACTTTCATTTTGAATTTGATACATATATCTGTATGCAGATTTTCCTGATATCACAATAATTAATCTCACAGTTTTATCCATATATAATAATTAATGCACACAATAATTTCTGAATTTACAGTACTCTATTGATGATTACTGTTGTAAGCATCAAACAGCTAAACCTAATTAGCACTGCAGTCAAAAAATTATATCAGAAAATAAAATGGTAACTACATGTTACATATTAATTTATTAAATTATATTTTTAGAAAAGATTAACAACTAAAACCTTCATAAACATTGCACAATTTACATGATTTAAATCATAGTTCTTATTTTTCAAACTTTTATGTTTACAGGTACATGAAGTTATATTTATCTAACACAGTTAAGGTTTTTGTTCATGTTGGTGATGATTTATATATTGCCATTGTAATATCATCTTCACTTTTAATAAGAACACTCCTGGAAAAGAGAAGAAACTTGCAAAATTTTGTATACAGAGTTTTATTCAATATCAAAATGCAGCTTTCGTTACTTGTGTTTCATTTTACCTTCAGTATATAAATGATATGAAGCAAGTATACTCTTGCATTAAAATTTTACCTTTTAAAACATGATAGTTGTTTTTTGTTGCTGTAGATCATATTTGTTTTTTCGTGAATTGTTTTATATTTGTTCTTTGTTTTGCTTTAGCGCCACTGTCCCAAGTAAGGGGAGGGTTTTGTGCCCTCAAAAATTTTTAACTGTGCCACATTCTGTGTATGCCTATCCCAAGTCAGGAGTCTGTAATTCATCTTTTGTATCATATTTGTTTTTTATTTTGTTCATATAGGCCATTGGTTTTCTCATTTGTTTTGTTTTACATTTTGATATGTTGGGGCCTTTTATAGCTTGCTTTGCAATATAGGTTTTGATCATTGTTGAAGGCCATACAGCAACCTATAGTTGTAACCTCTACTGAATTTGGTCTCTGGTGTATAGTTGTCTCATTGGCAGTCTTCCATATCTCCCATATTTTATAAGCTTTTCATTCTCTATAATGTATATATTTTTATGTATCAAGTGGGAAAAGAAACAGACTTCCATTACACTGAGTACATTTATTTAAAGGAAATACAAATTCACAATAATTTAGCAATTAAATTCTAATAGATCATTGGTGGATTACTGTCTAAAAATAAATCAACATCTTCTCATATGAAGATGTTTACTATGTGATTTTCAGGTCTGGAACAGAACTTACTCAAACCATGCAGATTTAGTAAAGATAGTCAATCCAAATAGTAAAATGCTTAAGGTGTCTATATTGAATGTAATAATATGACCATTTCACCAATATTTGGTCCAAAATGCCTATGTCATTGCTCATAAAAAATATCATCATTAGTGTTTTATCCCTGTATTATTTCAATGTTGTAAGTATGTTGATTATTTGGTAGGGTCAAAAGACATTTTTTAGAGTAACCCAGTCTTGATGATTCAGGCCATTTTAATTCAAAACTGATCATATAGACATTATTTGATTACTCTTGTAGGAAACTTTAAAACAAGAGTCTGTGTACATAGGAAACCATGGACCATTTGCACTATATTTCCATGTAATATGAACCCTGAAATCAGAGTCAAAACCCCAATACTGTGGATTTATTATTATTTGTAACTTGTTGGATACCAATTTTCGTGGATTTCTGGGGTAAAAAGGTGAACCACAGATTGAAATGTTCAACGAAGTACAAATTTGCAATAGACTTGTTTGCAGACTTTGGCAAAACCACTTAATCAAATATACACGAAAATACAATTTTTCCTCAATCCATGAAAATTAGTACTCATGAAAATAAATGAATCCATAGTAAGACATATAGTATAAAAAGTTCTCACATCATTAAGTTTCAAGTTGATTTTACCACAACTTAATGGTAATCTTCCTTAACCAAAAGTTTTAAGTGATAAGGGACTGACGGACAGACGATCAGAAAACATAATGACCTGCCTAATATCTTTTTATCTTACATATACGCAGTGCATAAAAACACACAATGGACACCATGTGGACGATGATGTGGTGGTTAAAGGCTATTAATACTTGTCATTTGAAACCTAAAGGAATGCAGGACAGGAATAGATATTTTATTTATAATTTGTGGCTTAATTTAAACAGCAGTATAAATCAAAGTGCTTGTAAGCACAGAAGGGTAAAGATTGCTTTAATTTATCAGTGGGCAGTAAAATTAAACATTGCATTGTATAAAGCATTGGTTGTAGTTGATTCAACTACACTTATGGACAAAGGAAGATAACTCCAATTTTAAAGATTATTCTAACAATGACATCATTGATATTTTTAGAACAGATATTAGATTCCTGCACCTTGCACAAGTTATGTAATTGTCTTGACTAGTATAACATCATTTTGTAACTTGAATATCTGAGCATATATTACATTGATAAATTTCTGGAAATGTTCATGGATAGGATGTATAGAATGTTATGATCAATGCACTATATTTTGTGTATCTCAAAAGTAGTGATAAACCTTGGAAGATTTAGATATCAAGTCAGTACCATAGGGTTTTGATTGCATTTCATGCAATCTTTACCCCCAAAAAAATTAAATACCAACCCTGTTTCTGATTCAATACAGATTACTGGAGGAGTAGAAGAATTAGGATGTAACTGAGCTGCTTGTTTGGCAATACTTGCAATATTTCCTGAGGCAGACTTTTCTGCTACTCCTTTAGCTAGAAATAAATAAATAAAACAGATACATGTATATTCAGGACTTTTATCATATAACATAATGAATTGATGTTGCAACATGTTGTAACTGTATGTTAGTGCATGAATGACATTCATAAAGAGGACAATCAAGAGGTCTTATCTAATAAATCCCTTAACATAATCATGGACCATCTAAAATATCACCTGCATGTAGTAAACAATTATTCAAATAGGAGTTTGATATAACTAAGTGGCAAAACAAAAACAAATAAAATAAAAGAAGAATGCGTCTGAGGACACGAATTGCCCTGCTCAAGCTTTGCAATTTTTCATGTTAAAAAGGGGCATACCTCTAGAAGGGTAAATGACTCACTGCCCAAATTCGAACTCTGTCTGCATGTTTTGGTTTTTTGGCATTGTGTATGAGTTTCATAAAATTTGGATCAGGAAAACTGAAGTCAGAGTGCGGAAACAAAACAATTTTCCAAGTTATAAAGGGGTATAACTATAGAACAGTATGTGACTCACTGTCTAAATTAGAACTTTGTCTTGGAGTTTTGGCTCTTATCATTATGTACGAGTTTTATAACATTTGGATCAGGAAAACTTAAGTTTTAAATGGGACAGACAGAAGGATGGACAGAAGGTCAAGGGTAACACTTAATGCCCCCATTGCCTACAGCAGGGGCATAAAAAGGGCTATTTCTGACTCTACCAACGTTGTAATTAAAGAATAAATCATTAATGGTGCACTGAAAGTTTCAGAGGTCCAGCTTAAACTATACATATCAAACTAAACAGGGGACATTAAGAAGTAATTTTGAAACTAATCTAGATTACTGAACAATGAAAGAAGTCATGTTAAATCAAAGAATGAAGATAGGAGTTAATCTTTAATTTCAAACAATTTTATAACTTGCCCATTACTAAATGTTATTAAAAGATTAAACTTGAGAATCATGAAAAGCTTAACTGAACCAATTCACCATGACAATATGGCAGGCAGTACTTCCTGCATACATTTTGTACCTAGTTGGGTTATTTTTGCAAGACTTTAAATTGTTCAAAACCAAGAATTAGATCAGTTTAAAATTGAATATTTGCTTAAAAGTGACCTGGTGACCTTAAAATACATGTATCAGCAGCTGATTTTCAAATTTTTGAATTCAACTTATTTGTGAATGTTTTACTTTAGTATATATAAATTCTTTCATCACAGATGCCAAATAGACATTACTATAATGTATCCAGTGCTAAAAACAGATTAATTTATGGTAGACTGAAATCACCCATGAAATAGATTTGACATTTTGCCTCCGAAACCTCTATCTATTTGGCTACAGTGTGATATGATTAGGGTGAATTTTTCACATTTTCAGTGTACCGGTAATGGAAAAATTAAAGAAAATATTGCAATACCAGTAGGAAATATTACTAACAAAATCATGTCAATTGATAGTTGCACTAACCTGCTAAACAAAGTCCATTTTCATCTGCACAAAGGACACCTGCAACTCCTGGTAGTCTGAATCTGTAATCATACATGTAACACAAAAGGTCATCAAAAAGTAATACAAATAAAAACAAAATCACATCAAGGTCATGTTCTCTTACAGATTTCTCATTAATATGTAACACTCCCAAACGTGTCCATCCCCCCAAACGTGTCCGATTCCCCCAAACGTGTCCATTCTCCCCAAACGTGTCCGTTATATTCAATATTGCCCAAACGTGTCCGATTTCATAACCCCCAAACGTGTCCGATAATTGTTTTTCGCCAAAACGTGTCCACTGTTAAACGCCAGAACGTCTCACGTCTTTTAGCGCTAATACATATACAAATGACATCAATAACGTTTACGGCAATTCTATGATGGGGGACACAGTTGATGAAGTGGTCATTTATTATCATTAGTTTGTTCAATGCCGGTTGTTAATGATTATCATAATTGCAAATTTAATCTGTAACATATGAATTAACTTTTGACTGAAATGCAAGTTGCAAGTATTGCATTCTGATTTAGAGCGAACATACAAATAATTTTAGTACAGTTGAATTAATCGTTTACCAAGTGAATTATTTTGTACTAATAAATTCTGATGATGCCTTTTATATTAAACCGAATATTGCACGGCGGGCTTTCCGCAGAATTGACTTCCCTTTTTTCAACAGTTCTGGTATTTTAAAAACTCTTCAAATCAAAAGTTTACTGTTTATCAGGTTTTTTAATAAATTTTAGGTTTCGAGCATCACTAAAGACACACAAACAAGAGACATAACGTCCAGTGCCAAATATTTCATGCATTATTTGAACGACATCATGTTAACAATAAATACTGTACATAGGTTTTATTATCATACCGGGAATTTAGGATTAGGCCTAAATTTTTACGGTTATTCGGGATTAACACTAGTTGGGGTTTTAATCTAAAAATTTAAGAGCCAGTAACAACCAATTTTTTTATGACTTCAGTAAGAAACTACTTCAATCTCCGTTATGTAAGAGGCCGTTTTAAATAAAAGTTGCAGAAATTAAAAAAAAAAGAATGTTGCCTTCCAAAATACAACTGATCGCACCATGAAAGAGTGAATTGCTACACAGGTTTTAATGCGCAGAGAGAGTGACATTCTCCCTACACGAGATATTTGATTTAATATCTACAAATTAACTGAGCATGGCTGCTTACATTTACATCCAACATAGCCGAACATATTGGCACTTTTACCCAGATTATACTGCCGGTTAAAAAAAGACCTAAAGTAATTTATTTCTATTTTTTTAATGAAATAGTAAAATGAGTATACGTTAATGAAAAAGCAATAACCAAATTTATAATATGGACACGAATGATAGTTCCAGTAAAGGAAAAAAATTAAGCTTGATATGGACACGTTTGGGGGATTGGACACGTTTGGGGTATTGGGCACGTTTGGGTGTTTATACAAATGACACGCTTTGGCGCCCTTTTACATTAGGACATGTTTTGCAGTTCAGTGACGTCATGTGGACACGTTTGGGGGAATCGGACACGTTTTGGGGGAAGGACACGTTTCTGAGTGTTACAAATATACCAGTTTTCATTTATATTTTTTCACTGACTATATTATATATGTTATTGATGCTATAGCATTTTCATTTATGCTGATTGTAATAAACTTATTACAATATTACAGATAGGTTAGTGTATCTAATTAGATCAATATATTACAGTGTTCTCCCCAGGATATTTAGATAGCACGAGGGTAATCAAGGCGACAATTTACATATATGCAACAAACATGATTTGCATCACGTTGCAACTCTTTTCCTTTATCCTCCTTAAGGTTAGTTCCCATAGGGTTCTTTCTTTTTTTATTATCTTTTATCCATTTGAGTTTTCTTTTCTTTTGTACTGTGTTTTGTTGACATTATTGCAGTGAAAGAAATTGTAATCACCATTCAGTCATAGACATGAAGAGAATTGTCAATTATTATTACTTCAGGTATTTGTAATACTAGGGTGGGTTTTTTTTTTTACCCATTTTTTTTTTATCTTTATTCAATTATTCAACATTTATATACAATATATATATTACATATTACACAAAAATAATCACAAAACAATGGTTAAAGGTATAATGACATATATCATCAACACAATAATCAATAAAATGCTTCACTGAGGGCAGCCTGATACGACCGCAGAGGTCGAACACTGAACCGTTGGGGCAAATTTGGATATAATATTCAAGCTTGATACTGTCTGAATTTTGATTGTGATCAAACTTTTGACATAATATAGGTTTCTGACACAAAATAAATGTGGAAACTAGAAAAATGTTTGTTTTGGGCCCCTTTTGGGCCCCTAATTCCTAAACAGTTGGGACTATCATCCCCAAAATCAATCCCAACTTTCCTTTTGTGGTATTGAACCTTCTTAAAAAATTTCATAGAGATCCATTAACCTTAACTAAAGTTATTGTCCAGAAACCAATGTGTCTTCAGAAGACGATGCAGAGGACGACGACCACATACCATTATATGCTCCCAAAAATTATTTAGCGGTCGTATAAAAATTAAATGCAATGACACCTTCAATACTAGGGTGCAGGTTTATAAGAACCTTGACTGGCTGTAAATGTTAAATATGGATGTACAATATCTATATAATACTGGTTTGATTTCATTGGGAGTATTGGAGATATTACCTCTCATTTACTATGTACTTTTTCTGTATTTATACAGAATTTTAATTTTTATTAAATTACATTCCATTTTAATAGTTAGCAATTATTTGTTTACTTATAAATATTTATAAACTGTGACTGTCAATAGTAGTCACTTTAGGGTCCAAATTAATTGTGGCTGTTTTATAAAACTCATTTAATCAACTGCCATAACTGGAAGTAAACCGGCAGTCAAAAGCGAAAGTTTTTTGTTGTAAAAGAGAAGGAAGACTTATTAAAAAAAACCAGGATATATGATGCTACATGTAGCTTGGACAATTTACCTCATACATAATAAAAATATGCATAATTGTCAATTATTATTATTTAATGGACCAACATTTAATCTTTTATCAAATATAAACAATTTTTCGGCATGTGTACAACTGGTGTCATCCTGGTTTGCCCACATAACTTTAATTGCAGGTTTGTAAAAAAATAGGGTGTTTTGTTGTTTTAACAATTATAGGTTATTTCTGAATTATAGTCATATTTTTTTACCTGTTAAATTTTATAAAAGATACTTAATTCTTCTATTAAATAAAGGAAAATATGCAAAAATATTTTATAAATTTACAAGGAAAATGTATTGAATTTGACAAATATAAATGAAAAATATACAAAAATGTTTATTATTTTGACAAATTATCGACAATTTTTTTAAATTGTTGGTACATTCAGAAAAAAACATGTAAAAAGTGAGATAAGGAAACATTTTTGGATTTTATCGGACAAATGCTTCGTAAAACTTTTATGTTTGTTATCTAAAGTCTATTTATACAACTTTTCTGCATTCTTCATTTCAACAAATCTATTATGTGAACTCTTTGACTTATATTTTCTTTTCGATTTCCTAAATCCTTATCTAGCAAGTTGTTTTAAGATTTTGTGCATTGACTTCTTTTATTTAAAAATTTGTTTCAGCAGAATTAATAAAAAGGCAACAAAGGTCATCTCCTAGTGTATTAATTGAATTTATATTAACCAAATTTAAGTCAATAATATAAAGTTTAAAATCAGGTTTTTCAATCTCTTCCCTATTAATATTTATTTGAAAAAAATCTGTTTTAGTGCATCCCATTTTTTTGTTTTTACTTAATTTCCAGTTAGGTTTTTTTTATATTCTTTACATTTCTTTTAACCAATAAAACATCAATGCAACTACCAAGCTTTACAAATGACATAATTTGAAAAGTTATTAGCATTCCAGCTAGCATTTTCCTCTTTCAATTGATAATCATCTAAGTTTTTAAGCTTCTTCAGCCACATACGTTACATCGCTCAACTACATCAGTTACAACTTCAACCAGAAACAGTATTTTGATTACAAGACAGCAACCAACAACTCAGCACGGACAGTGTTCCCAGGGGTAACCATGAAAGGCTGCTTCTTCTACTTTACCGAGTGTATTTGGCAAAAAGGCACAGAATGTGGACTACAGTCATACTAAAAAGAAAATGAAGACATCAATAGATTTATAAGACGAGCCACACTATTACCTCTCGTTCCACCCCTCCTTGTTGGGGATATTTGGCTTAAAACTTTAGAAGACATTGGTGAAGCTGACAACATACCCATTCCAACATCATTTACTGATACCGTGACAGAGTTTTGGGTTGTAGGATACCGCCTTTTATGAAACAACTACTTCTCCGAAGGACTCTGCACCTTTAACCAACTGGAAGGATGGCACAACAAAATAAAGAAGAGACTCCAACATGCCCACCCCAAAATTTACGAGATCATTGAATTAATCAAGAAGACACAGGCACACACAGAATGTACTATTATCCAGTATGTAGCAAGCAGGAGCCAGCCCACCAAAAAAACAGGCGATACAGAGTAATCAACACCAGACTCCAACTACTGAAAGACAGATACCAACAAGGACTCATCAATGTGATAGACTACATGTACTCTGACGCAGCATCCCATCTTCTTCATTTGAACTGAATGACTTAGTGAGATATTGTTATTTTTGACTTTGTGAATATATAACGTTTTGTGACTTTTGAAAAATATATATAAAATGTTATATTTTTCATCATTATACATATAGTGCCCCATATTACTTTTTTTTACCTTAGTGCTTTATTTATTTCCTTATGCAATGCATGTATAAATTTGATGCATAAATTATATAAGTTATGTTTGCAATAAAAGAAAAACTTTATCATAATTATAATCTTGTATTTGTATTGCAATCATTTGGAAACGGATGATTTATTAAGCTACTTTTATAAATGAATGTCGTTTTGTCATTAGTTGTATGTTAAATGAATCGACTGAATTGGTAATTTATAATTAAATTATTGGGAAAAAA